GTGATGTATCACAGTGGCAGTTAACTGGGCACCATTTTGTTGACCAGAAAGTCTTTCCTGCACTTCATGTGGCAATGGTAGAATCCACATGACCAGAAGACATGTGGTCGAGCAAGCAGGGGCAGGGACATTAAATCTCTTTCACGGCCCACTGAGTAACTTTGCTGATGGCCAGATGGTAATGCCAGCATTACCATTTTAGGCTACCTTCATGCTGTAGGGCCTGCAGAAGGATCCTAAGGCTTAGTCTATTAAGGAGGGGGACCATTACTGATTGGCCATCCTTTTGGATCCTCTTTACAAAGGGAAAATGACAGAGCTTATCCTGCCATCCCAGAGGGAGGAATATAATAAAACGTGCTGCAGAGGAACCTTAAATGTATGCAATCTTTTGGCAGGGTCAATCCTGCGTGTGTGGTATGTTATCAGGTGCTTGCGCACTGTCAAAGTACAACACCTAATATTTCTGCAGCTGAATCTCAGTTGAAAAATGTGTGCAATTGTTTTCTGCAGAGTCAAACCTGTATTGTGCCTCAATATATGCATTGTATTCCGGTGCTTTGGCAAGGTCAATGTACAACCTGAAATGTCTCCACAGCTGCTACTCAGTAACATTTTTAATGTTTGCAACAGGATGACTCATGCTATTTGTCTTATATATTTGGACCTATTACAGTGCTCTGTCAATCAAGAATATTTGTGGCTATGATCTCTCTGAAAAAGTATTATGTAACAGTGGTTTCTTCCTTAAAACCTGCCTGGCCTATATGCCTCATTACTTCCTCTTCAATTGAAGCGTAGTGAAAATGAGAAGCGTGTTTTTCTGGCTGTTGTCAATAAAATAATATAGTAAAATTTACATTTCACAATAAAATTTGCCTGTTCTCTCCCTCTTAAATTGTGGCCAAGTAAAAAGAGGACTGCTAAAACTTCTTACATACTCTGCATTGAGCCTATCCAATTTTTCTACCTTTTGTCTCTGAAATAATACTCTAATTTATATTTCACAATAAATGCTTCATCACAATGGTAACACCCTAATTATAAAATCCAACTTTGCTGAGACACAGGAAGATGTGAAGCATAGAAAAGAGGTTGAGAATGAAGGTAATTATTTAGTAGGCTTTGGAAACTATCTTCCGTACACATGTAAGCTTCCCAGATCTCTGCGGAAAGCCATCAGATGTCACCTCACATCTGATGGAGCTGGTGGGGGCAGAACTTCATGCTTAGGCACATTTAGCTGCACGGTTAGATCCCTTGGTTTGTCAAGGATGTTTAGTACTCCCTGAGCCCGAGGAGGTGGAAGAAGACTTGTGGGTGCGGGAATTGGAACCTGACTTGGAGGAATAAAAGAAACTTTTTCATGCAAGATAGAAAGGTGTCGATCTGTGCTGTGGCTCTTTATTTTTGCAGAGCTGGGGTAAGTGAGTATTTTTACTTATGATTTAGTCCATTAAAGAGCCGGAAAGATGGTCTCCCACAAAGCATAGTCGCAACAAAGCCTTCTTACACTGTTAGTCTGCTGACTGCTGACAGGTAGGCTTTTATGACAGAAGATATTCTGTATGTCTCTTCTGTCATAAATGCTTCTCCTTGTCTGTCAACATTTTTTTTGTTTTTTGCGTATATTAAATCACGAATGCGCAGTTCAACCCCAATTCCAAAAAGTTGGGACGCTGTATAACATCTAGATATAAACAGAATGCAATAATTAGCAAATCTCAAAAACCCATATTTTATTCACAATAGAAAATAGAAAACATATTAAATGTTTAAACTGAGAACATTTTAAGAAAAAAAATTAAGTCATTTTGAAATTGGTGGCAGCAGCATGTCTCAAAAAAGTTAGGACAGGGCAACAAAAAGCTGGCAAAGTACACCGTATTAACAAGGAAGAGCTGGAAGAACATTTTGCAACTGATTAGGTTAATTGGGAACAGGTCAGTAACATGATTGGGTATAAAAAGAGCATCCTAGAGAGTGTCTCAGAATTAAAGATAGGCAGAGGCTCGCCAATCTGTGAAAAGCTGCACCTAAAAATTGTCAAACAATTTCAGAATAATATTCCCCAACTTAAAATTGCAAAGACTTTAAATATATAATCATGTACAGTAGATAATATCATCAAAGGATTCCAAGAATTTAAAGAAATCTCCGTGCACAAGGGATAAGGCCGAAACGCAATATTGGATGCCCATGATCTTCGGGCCCTCAGGGCACTGCATTCAAAACAGGCATAATTCTGTGATGAATATCACTGCATGGGCACAGGAATATTTCCAAAAATCACTGTCTGTGAACACAGTTGGCGGTGCCATCCAAAAATGCATGTTTAAGCTCTATCATGCAAAGAAGACGCCATATATGAACATGATCCAGAAACGCCATCTTCTCTGGGCCAAAGCCCATTTTCTTTTTGGTTACCATGGGTGCCACATCCTTCGGACAAAAGAGGAGAGGGATTTTCCTGCTTGTTATCAGCGCTCAGTTCAAAAGCCTTCATCTATGATGGTATGGGGGGTGCATTAGTGCATATGGAATGGGCAACTTGCACATCTGGAAAGGCACCATCACTGCTGAAAGATATATCCAGGTTTGAGAGCAGTATATGCTCCCATCCAGATAATGTTTTTTTTTTCAGGGAAGGCCTTGCATATTTTAGCAGGACAATGCTAAACTGCATACTGCACTGCATCTATGACAACAGCATGGCATCATAGCAGAAGATTTAGGGTGCTAAACTGACCTGCCTGAATTGCAGATCTTTCACCAATTGGAAATATTTGCACATGAAAAATATACAACAAAGGAGACCCAGGACTGTTGAGCAGTTAAAAATCCTATATCAGGCAAGAGTGGCACAACATTCCTCTCCCAAAACTCCAAGAACTGGTTTCCTCAGTTTCCAAACTAACTTCTTGTCAGTAGGGTAGTTAAAGTATAGACCATTCCTTCTAAAGCGGTGGTCAGAGCTTTGTTAAGGTGTGACACTGGTGGGTCAACTATGGAAGGAGTAGTACATTTAATGACAAAATCCCCTGGAAAAGGATTGAGTGCCAGGCACCATTTAGGGATACGGAATTGCTTGTCTGGGTGTTTCTAATCTTTGAATTATCATTGAAAATTGAAAAATCATTGAATACAGGATGATGAGAAAACACTCTGGTGGAACATTTAGGTTTATGAGAACTGAACTCAGCCACCATGGTATGAAAAGTGACAGTGGAATTATCTGGACTGCACAGCCTTGATGAGAAAAGAAAAACGTTCCTTCTGTTTTGATGATAGACCTGCTGAAATGTAGCTGTTGAGGTATCTTCCTCATCTAGTAAGAGAGAACATCTGGAGGATCCCCAATAACATCAGAAATATTAGGCATCTCTGCATTAGATTCTGCTCGGGAGGCTGATGATATATGTTTTAAGCACTTGCGAGCAGCAGGAGCAAGAAGGTGCATTAACTAAGTCATAAATTCTTGCATAACAGTAAAAAACACCTCCAATGAGAGGCAGGAAGAGGAATGAGCACTGATAAAAGGAAGGGACTGACAACCAGCTGTGAGCATCAGTCAGGGGTGTAAAAAAAGTAGAAGGGCACAAACTTTACGACTTTGTACAGGAGCTTGCGTTTTCCTGCAGCAGAAAGCCCTAATCTGGTACTTACAAGCGGCAGCTGTCACATAGTCAAGTTAATGATCAGGTGACAGAAGTTGCATGTACACACCTGCACACTGCATGTAATGGTATGTGATGTGATTACATTTGGTTAGGAATCAATCACTCTCCCTGGACGCATCGATTGTGCATCCAGGGAGAGTGTTTTCTAACCGCATGTAATAATATCACATACCATTACATGCGGTGTGCAGGTGTGTACATGCAACTTCTGTCACCTGATCATTAACTTGAATATGTGACAGCTGCCGCTTGTAAACACCAGGTTATGGATTTCTGCTGCAGGAAAATGCAAGTTCCTGATGCAGGAAACCCTTATCGCACCTAAACCTACAGATATGAATAGGGACTTATTGTGAGTGTATATTAGTGTCCTTAGTACCAAACCAGATATAGTTACATTTTATTTTAAAGTGAGAAATTTGGCAAGCGGCACCCATGAGAGAAAAAAATTTGTTGAGTTGCCACCAAGTGAATTGAGTTTTAGACCCCTGGCCTAGAGGCATACATGAATGATTTGCATGGCTTTGCCCGCTACCCTGATATTAGGAATAATGCCATTAGAACAGAATGGGGAGAGGTTCGAACCTCTGTCATATTTTATAACTTTCTCTGTCCCTGTTGGGGAGATTTGTTTTCTATTTCATCTGAAGTTAAGAGAAATCTCTACAAGGAAAAACCAGATAGCGATGAAAACCTGGCAGAGGTTCTAATCATTCCCCTCTCTATACCAAATTTGAAAAACATTTTGGCATTAGTCCAAAACCTGTCAAGTTGCTATTGACAGTTACAGTTTTGCCTTAGAATTTCCTGCTTCTGTTTTTATAATCGGCCCCACTGAATTAGCACAATGTCAACTCTATAGGTCTGGGAGGGGAAGGGAATATATATATATATACATATATAGGCACTTAAAGAGCTTCCATTCTATAGTAGCTTTGTTGCACCAATGTTGCAGTGGGTAACAGCCAGCCTAGGCCTTGAGAAAGGCAAGCTGTTACTCGCCGAAATATTAGTACAATGTTTCCTTGATCACCTATGGAAGCTCTTTGATTGCCTACAATACCTTTTGCTACATTATTTGTTTTGTGTGGAGCACCAAAGCATTTACTTTGAACAGAGTGCTGATACCACCAAGCTATACTTGGAAGTGGGGTTTTAACTTTGAAAGCATTACTAAGCTTATTGAATGCAAATATAAATCTATATTAAAAGATTTGTTTCCCTTTAAGAAAATGTAGTCTTTCTACTTCCTTGTAATGACTTAACATAGGCAGCCAATTAAAGACAGAATTAATTTTGGGTGGGGGAATGAAAAGATAAGGGCTGTAGAAACTTGTTTGCCTCACAACTGCCTAAGGTACGCAAGAGGTATGTTATTAAAATCAGGAACAGTCACTTTATGTACAAAATTCTTATGGCTACTGTTCTGTAGGCAGTAAAGCTTTTGATAATTTTCAGGGCTCACCTTTAGATTGTAAGCCCTCATGGGCAAGGCCCTCCTTACCATCTTGTCTTGAATTGTATTGTAATGTCTTATTTCTATTGTAAAGCCCTGCTCAAACTGTTGGCGCTATATAAATCCTGTATAATAATAATAATATATAACAAGAGAAAGAAATCAAATTTACCTCTTTTTTTTTTCCTTTATGTCATTTGTAATAATTTAAGGGTCTATTCACACTTCAAACTTTAGTACTGCTTTGTGTTGAGGCAGTCTATTTATTTCGGAATGGGCTCCAATGCACCACAATAGTTGCTATTCCCCCAAAATGCACTGCAATAGTTGATATATGCATGGTGGTGCACTGATCGCTATACAAGGCAGGACCTTTTCACACTTGTGTTTGCATTTCATCCTTTTTTTAGTGTGCCGTTTTATGCGGTCTATTTAGCATGCATTATACTTTTTTTTTTGGCCAATGAATGTGAAATAAAGTTTAAGGCTTCATTCACACTTGCCACTAGTGTTTTAATGTAGATCTGTCTACAAAATCTGTCAGGCTAGATGCTTTGTTTATGCTTCTGGATGCTTACAATGATGTGTGTGTGTGTGTGTGTGTGTGTGTGTGTGTGTGTGTGTGTGTGTGTGTTTACATGAATATGCGTTTAGATGCATTGTCCTTTGTAGCCAATGAGATTTCTGCAAATAAACACGTCTCATTTTTACATGCATTTTAATATGTTCAGAAGACAGATGTGTGTGTGTGTGTGTGTGTGTGTGTGTGTGTGTGTGTGTGTGTGTGTTTACATGAATATGCGTTTAGATGCATTGTCCTTTGTAGCCAATGAGATTTCTGCAAATAAACACGTCTCATTTTTACATGCATTTTAATATGTTCAGAAGTTCAAATCAATTCCTGGAGGCACCTGACTTCTATTTGTTTTTTTCTAAATGCAGCTAAAGTGACTGCAGATAAAAGCATCTAAACATAAGGTGTGAATAGATCCATTGAAAATCATTAGATGCATATTTGTGTTTATAAAACCTGTTTAAATGTATATAAACGCATCTAATTGCACATAGAATGAATGTATTGTTAGCAGGCCCGGCGCTACCGCAAGGCAAGTCAGGCGGCCGCCTTAGGGCGCTGCAGGGTGAGGGCAGAAAAAACAGGGCATTTTGACAAGTACTTGTACTTGCCAAAATGCCCTGATGCTTGCGCTGTTTTTTTTTTTTTCACTTCCCTTCGGTGCGGGAGAGCAGCGGCGAGTCAGTGCTGGTCCAGTGGGAGGAGCTCCAGTTGGGGTCCTAATTTAGCTGGCCGGCGACTGCCAGAGGATCCCGACATGCGCGGCACCTCTGGCAGTCGCAAAATGCACATTGCCTGTGTAGGCAAGAATCCTAGCACCGGCACTGATTGTTAGTGACTGATGGCTTGTGTTCATTAGCTAAAAAGCACAAAAATTAATGCTACATGTGTTTTTCAAGCTTTGCCATTTAAGGTCCCCACACACCTTACGATAATCGTACGATGATCGCGGGGAATCCCGCGATCGTACGATTATCGTAAGGTGTGTGGAAGCCGTGCGACCTCTACTACTGTAAGGTCGCACGGCTTTAAACTTACGGACATGTTCGAAAACCCGCCGAGCATCGTACGATCTTCGGCGGGTTTGTGGCATGTCCGTACAATAACAGCCGTACGGGCCGGTGTGCGCAAGCGCACACTGCCCGTTCGGCATTGCCGTCATCGGAAGCCCGCCCCTCAGGGGGCGTGGCTTGCGATCATCGCAAGTACGATCTGCCTATGCAAGATAGGCAGAACGTACGTTTTTTTAAGTATCTTACAACCATCGCAAGACAAAAGTCTTGCGATGGTTGTAAGGTGTGTGCCCAGCCTTAGAAAGTGTCTGCATTATTTAACAAGTTGCATGGAAGCAAACTGCACAGGTGTGAAATGTACACCATAAAAAAGATTCCTTTTATTGCGCCGTGGGCAAAGCATTTTATATCACACCAAAATGTAAATGTGGACTAAGTGTTTCTGATGACACCCTGCCTCCGTATATTCTAAGCATTTAGGACCCATTCACACTAGCCAGTGCGTTGCCACTGTGTACATTTATTTTTCTTAACTTTATGTAGAATTTATAATGTGTACACTTCATTCATGTTCCTGCGCTGAGCTGCCGTGCAGCGACCTGCGTTGGTATTCAGTGCACGGTGATAAAATGCAGCATGTCTGCATTTTTCTGCACCGCACATCATACCCATGTGTCCTTTTTACATTGTGGTGTAAAAAGCACACATAGAAAACAAGTGTTTTCTATGTGTCCTTGTGGTGACATGCGTTGATCCGGTGTGGTAAAATGCAGGTCATTGAATTATGTGAGAACGGCCTATGACATACATGACCCGATTTGAAGTGATTTAGAGTGTTCACCTAAACATCCAATCATTGGTAGAGAAGCTCTATTGAAATAAAAAAACACTACACATGATTAGATGTTCACTGCAGGGCTGTCTTTAACGCAGGGCAAAAGGGGCAGCTGCCCAGGGCCCTGTCATTGTTGTGGGGTCCAAAGGGCTGATGCCAAAGGTGGCCTTTGCACCTGGATGGGGGATAGGGAGCCTTCCAGGTGAGGGGACTACAGTGTGAATCAGGGCTGCATGAACAGTGGGTGTCTGATGGGGAGGCCCTGAGTGTCTGCATTGGCTGCTGGATGCTGCATGTGTGTATTAGGGAACACTTAACGTCCAGAGAGAAGGGTCACTACATGCTGCTTGTCTGTATGTGATGGAGGTCACTACATGCTTTCCATGTACATATGATGGGGGACAATAAACCTTAGTCAGTGCAGCAGCACGGCAGAGTGCACAGGTCCTCCCAGCAACGTGCATGAAGACCCAGGGGTGTGCATGGAAGCATTCTCATTTGTCACAAACATTTACAGTCCACGTCACAGAATCTGATTGTCACGAACAATGATTGGATATAGTGAACTTGTACTGACATGTGAACATTGTATTGGGCTCTTACACATTATTTGATGGCAGCTTATTACTTGTATTACAATAATGACCCGAAATCCTTTAACTCTATTGATGACATTAACAGTGTGGTTTTGTTTTTATGCAGATTTCCCTGTGTATGATGGGGAAGGGAAGCAAAGTTGTTATTTGTGGACTGGCCAGAGTTGGAAAAACCGCTATACTCGAGCAGGTGATCTATGGAAATCATATAGTTGGTAAGATTCTTGCACATAAGCTATAGCAGGCCTTTTGTTCTATTGCATTAAAGGACAGGTGCCCCCTAAGTGCCAGCATAGTGTATAGTAAAAGGTGGTGGTACTCTAAAGCTGGCCATACACTATGATATTTTCTTCGTTCAGCCTACTGGCTAAACTAAGAAAATTTAACAGATTCCTCCAATGCTTGCAAGCAGTGATTGAGGAATCTCCCACTGTCTTCAATGAATACAATTCAATGAAGACTCTTGTATTGCTCATTGGCTGCCTGCTCTATACGCTCAAAGATTTTCCGACCAGCTCCTTCGATCAGCTGATGGAGGGATGTTGGCCAAAAGGGTGCCAACAGCTGCTCCCACTGTAAGGCCAGGTTAAGAAAACACTCCACATACTTCACTATCTCTACACAAAATTATGTAAATTATTTCATTGGATGGTTTGTGTCTTGCTGCCATTGACTGGTTTCTCTCATCCACAATACATGCATAGTCCCTTACCTTAAACATAAATGCTGATCAGGTACCTCAGCACTTTACTGGCCGCATGCTTGTTCTATGTTGTTAAAATACACATTACTGTGTTTGTAGCAACAACTCCTGCAGTATACAATTTTGGTCACTAGATGGCAGTGTTTATAAGTTCTGTTATACAGTATCTATGGTGTATATACTCTGTTTTATTCAATAAGGTAGAGAATAAAGCTGTGGCTTCCTTCCTGTTTTCCAAGACAAACCATGTGCAGCATGCATATCAGACTGTGCTGACATTTTTTTGTTTTCAAGAACTGTACTTACTGTACCCATTTGCAGGTCAGGAAAATAGTGACACCCTGGAAGATGTTTATGTAGCTTCTGTGGAAACTGATCGAGGTGTGAGAGAGCAGCTGCGCATTTATGACACGCAAGGACTTCATGATGGAATGGAGTTCCCAAAACATTACTTTTCCTTTGCTGATGGCTTCATCCTTGTCTACAGTGTGGACAACTTGGAATCTTTCCGAAGGGTTGAGCAGCTTAAAAGGGATGTTGACAAATTCAGGGATAAAAAAGAGGTATGACTAACTTTGAACTCCATGAAGTGCTACACTTCAGGCCTTTCTGTCAAAATGTACTTCTGTGTACGGTCAGGGCCGGCCTTAGGCCTTTAGGTGCACTGTGCGAGAAAGCTCTACAGCACCCCTCAGTGACCACACCCCTCAATAACAACACCCCTCAGTGGCCACACCCATTTTTCCCAATATCCGCACCATGTAAAGACTCCCATTTTGTTAAGCCCCAAAGAAACATTAAAAAGTATGATAAAATAAAACTTTTATTCAAACCTATTAAACTTGTAGGCACAATATAAGTATTCTTATTAAATATAACAGAAGGCAAATAAGTGATATACAATAAATGTCAAACTAAAATAGTCTATAAAAATAAAGTGTCAGGATGTCACGCAGACCCTTTTTTCAAGTAAGTGCATCTAAAAAAGTAAAAGTAAAAAAACAGAACACAAAACCTAGACTACATGTTAAATGAATGACTTGCTATTTGCCTGAATATCCGAAAAATGTATTCAGGCACATAATAGTTTGTTTGAGAATGTGCGGCGGCCATGTTGGCCACTGGCGCATTCTGCGAATGCGTGCCACCATTTTGGAGGCGGGGAGCATGATGTCACATGACGCCATGCATGCGTGGCATCAGGTGATGTCACACACCGATATAGTCGCCGCCATCTTGGGGTATACCTAGATATACCCCAAGATGGTGGCGCCCAACACATGCGGTGTTATATGACGTCATGCCCCCTGCCTCCAGAACACGCCAGTGGCTGAATCGAAAATAGCATAAAAATCTGTTTTGTTTGATGAAACGAATGAAAACGTTTTTAGTTCGTTCATTTCGTCTGAAATGAATTTTTAGTCTTTGCACATGTCTAATAAGACGTGCATGTGAGGGGTTAATTTTCACTTTTGAAATTTTTTTAAAATGTATTTATTTTTTACTGTCGGGGGAGAGGGGAGGGAGCTACGGTGAAATATCTGGAGTCTAAACAGACCTCACACTTCCCTTTTTAAAATAGAGAAGAAATTGAGGACACAAAGTCCTCACTTTTTTTCTGCAGCCTCAGCAGTCAATGAACGGGAAGCACTCCGTACAGAGGCTTCTCATTCATTCAGACACTGATGATGGTAAAATGTTTACTATCACCAGTTTCTGAATGGGGAGTGCTTCTCCCCATTTATGAATGAACAGGAAGTGATGTAAATCACATTCTGTTCATTCATAACTGTGAGCGATGTCATGTCGGACGGCCAGCGGTGAGGAGGAGAGAAGCCGCCCCAAGGACGAGCTGTGTCAGCCACCTGGCGCCCTTGTTGCCATGGCGCCCTGTGGCTGCACAGCTCGAACACCCCGTGGCATAGCATAGCTGAAATATGTCTTATTTAGGGAAAAACCTGGTTCCTGTTTGGTAATGCAATCTTTTCCTGGTTTATGTGAAAGCTGAGCTCACTTGAATCGGGGGAAAAAAAGTATATGACGCAAAAAACTTTTCTTTGTCTCCCCAAGTTCTGATGTCCGTAAGTATGATGGAAGTGTATAGGAACAGGCTCCAAACTATGTAATGGTGAGGTTAGAACTTGTGTCCCTACTGGAAGATTTACTGTCTATTCCTGTTCTGGTGACAACCCAAAATGTGGGATTTTCTTTCACTCTCAGTGATAATATTCAAAAGGATCAGCTTCTCTCTCATTTTCAAATCTTCAGGCTAGGTTCACACCTGGTCGGGTCGCACGATATTGCACAGAACAGATTCACATTTAGGTCAATGGCGGCTGCTCGCACCTTTGCGGTTTGTCGCGCGACAATGTGCAGGTGCTATTTTCGGGCGGTTGTCGCGCGGTTTGGGTCCCATAGACATTTCTGTGCATTGAAAACCGTGCGGTTTTCAATGAACAGTCGTGTGATTGAAAATGCAGGACGATCGCAAACGTGCGACAATCATGTGAAAATGGCTCAGCATCTGAATCGCCTAGATGTGAACCTTGCCTAACTGAACAAACTGAAAAGAGAAGCCGATTGGTTGCCATGCACAGCTGCTCCAGATTTTGTCTGCTCCAGTTTTGATAAATTCCCCCCCAAAGTGTATTTAACAGGCAAAAAAGACCAAATAAGAATAGAAGTTTATTGTTGGGCGTTTCATACACTTATTAAATGTCTTTGATACTTTTACTTTTTCAAGGTGGTGACCATCGTTCTGGGAAATAAATCAGACCAGGAGGACTCCAGACAAGTGGACACAGAGATGGCTTCGCAGTGGGCAAGAGCTGAAAAAGTAAAATTATGGGAGGTGTCTGTGTCAAACAGGAAGTCCTTACTTGAGCCATTCACACTGCTGGCCAGCAAACTCAATCACATCCAATCTAAATCAACCTTCCCTTTGCCAGGGAGAAAAAGTAAGGGGACCCCATCTTCTGACAACTAAAGTAGGGTATACACGGTTATAAAAAAAATATATTTATAATTTTTTTTTTTTCAACCTAAAGGCTGAATGATTAAAAAAAATATAACCGCTTTCGCTGTGAGCTTTGTATTCTGACAGTGGCGCTGGCCAGAGTCACAATTCCCAAGCTGTGACTGCACCCGATTTGGCTTCAAGTACTGTCAAGCTGAAATTTCCAGCATGTTGCTTTTGGCCTAAGTCGGTCTAATCGACTTCTGTCAATTGGATAGGGTCACCAATTGAGCAAATTACGGCCGATTCCTCCTAAAATTCGCTCCATGTACCCAGCTTGAGTAGTTGACGCTGTTCCGTCCCTTTTTTTTACTTTTTCATAACCTTTTTTTTTTTTTTTTTTTTTTTTTTTTTTTTTTATAATTTTAAACAGGTACTTGAACACTCCTCGCTGGCGAATTTCCAAGTACTTAACTACTACTGATCACTATTGTATTAACATTTAACTTGTCATTGTAAAATCAAAGCGTAAATCTTTACCAGGTCCATATACAATGTAGAAAAGTAAATGCAATCAAGGATCATTCACATCATTGTAGAGAAATGATCATATAAACCAAGGTTAAAGCTCTGTGCCACATAGTATAATACATCCTGTATGCCATGATATCAGATATGTTCTACATAATCGCTTCCCTCCAAGAGAGACTATTCCTTTTTTCCACAGCATTGTTCTCGTGTTGGTTATGGGGTTGTAAGTCCTGCTGGTTTCGGCGTGATGTCTTCCTCTGAGTGGCACTTGGTATCTCACACATGGATCGTCATTCTGTATTGGTCGCCTGTAAAAAGCTCCTCCTTGTGTCAAGTTATGTTGTAATAATGTTTATTTTTTACTTGTAAATAAAAGGAACTGCCATTAAACTAATTTACACTTCATAGGAATCCGTGAAGCATTTGTCAACATTACTAAATCACATTCCCATTTTAATTGAAGAAAACTCACTTCGAATATATATATATGTGTGTGTGTGTGTGTATGTGTGTGTGTGTATAT